CTGGTGAGAACGACAAACGAATCTCTTCATCATGTACTTTCATTCGAAATGAAGGTCCCCCTAACAATACCATTTCCTAATCACCTGGAACGCAATAGAGCGAATGGAGCTCTTATACAGAAGTGACTACTTGTCAAATTGTAAGTAACGTCTCGTGTGTAGTATCAAATCGAGGCGAATTAGGAGCACTTTGATTGGCGCTGAACATCATCTTTGCTGACTAAACTAATTGAGCGAGAATTGAATATGCCTCGTAGCCGACACGTTTATGGTTCGAGTCCTGCAAAAGGGGCGGAAACTGGCGTTTCGCCTTACACGTAAAAAAGGGGCGGTTTGGTGCGAATAAAAACGTCGAGAGTCGTCTTTCGAGGTCACGGAACTCAACGAGTTAGCCAGTCCCTCTGGCAGGCCCTCTCCCTTCCGACGGGGCACTCGACTATTCCGAATGGGTCAAGACAAGTTTTGATTGAACCCTCCGTGGAAGGATGACTTTGGAAGTGCCTGCGTTGGCACGCCTGATTGGACGCCGAGTCCTAGTTCAGCTCTAGTCTAGCCTCCAAGAGGTCTGGAATGTCGGCTTGTTCTTGAGAGACAAACGGGTTGGTGAGGCCTCTTCAGGACCACTTGCCTGGTTGTCAACCGACCCCATTTCAGGGCAGTCTTTGATTACCCCTTTTCTGCGACTACCCTCAACCAGACACTCATCCGATTGGAGTGATTGGGTTGTACAAGTTTATTCTTTGCGTATGTCTCTAAGGTTGTTTTTGGTTTCGATATCCTTTTATTGGTTGGTGAATTTCACTATTGCTTGTTTCTAGGCTAATTTATTGCATTTTTAAATCGGTTTATCGTCTGGCCAAATGAGGTGTTTTGCCGATGCGATGGCAACTCGACTTTCCTGTCAGCCTAAAGCACATACTACTCAATTGTGTTTGATAAGTAGGCGAGCCTGCCACTCGCCAGCCGCCCACGCAAGCGTGAACAAACGGTTGCAGACATGCCCCCATCCCGACTGTCGGCCAGCCTGAACCGATCAAACGATGCGTTCCGTCCTCGAAACCGAGGCTGCATACCTCGTCCACGGCGTTGAGAGAATGTGGCCAGCAGCACCATGTTGGCGCGAGTTTGTCAAGTCGGCGAGGCAGAGGGGACAGACAACTGTTGTCACGAGGCGACAGAATCGTGCGATGCGTGTTTACATGTTGGCGAGGCAACTATTCTCGGACTGATCGGGCCCAGGGAAAGAACAAATTTCGCTTCGGCTGCGCCCACAAACGGCAAACATCAACCGCTTTCGCGAACAGCCCCAACCGAGTTGGGAGAGCAGACGCGGCGAAAGACAACTGTCTGTCACATTTCACGGAAACTATGCAAAGCGATCGCGGGATCACAACTAAAAGCCGGCTTGCAACAGATTGAAGGATGCCGGATCGGACGACATCTTCATACGCTCACCCGCGCAGCCCGTCGCCTCGGCTCTTCTGGTCGTTTAGTTCCATTTCCTCTTCTGGCAAAATGGACAAACCGACCTGTGAATAGGCCCATTTTGTGCTCAAACGCTAAGCTTCACTCGTTTCGAATAGACAGTAACATACTACTAACGATGATTTAAGTAACTCAATCATTTGGCGCACATGCATACATTCAGGCGAATACCAAATGTTTCGTGGAGGGTTTGACTCTTGCAAGAACTATCTCAACCTAATGAGATGTATTCACTCTATTTCGTATAAATTGATGAAGGACTGGTAGTAGAATTTTCCCACAATGATAT